TCTCTGTACCACATGTCCATCACATGAGAGCAGTGCTGACAGATGGAGTGCATGCTGTGAGGTAGCTACCTGCACAGTTCAGAGGTTGCAAATGTGCAGCTCTGCAAGTAGACCATGCATGGCAGAGAGTGGCAAGTGTCCCAGGGCAGAAGGGAGATCGGGGTGGTGCTGAGCCCAAATCGTGAGTGGGCCCCAAGAGTCAGAGACTGTATTCCCTGTTCCTCTGCCTTCCCTGTCCAAGAACACGCAGGGCCTGGAAATGGATGGAGAAGTAGGAAGTGGACCTGGGCCAGGGAAGTCCAATGAGACCAGTTTCTTTGTGCAGCTAACAGAAGCAGGCTCTTGATTCTAGTGGGTTTCATCTCTAGCCTGTTGTTAGGTGCCATCGAGTTGAGTATGACCCATGGTGACCCTGTGAACGGCAGATCTGAACCCTGTTTTTTTCCTGTGCCATCCTCACACTTCCTGGCACATTAGAGCCCATCGCAGCAGTCACTGTGTCAATCACCTGGTTGAAGGTCTTCCTCTCCTTCTCCAACCCTCTGCCTTCCTGAGTCTCATGTCCCTCTCCAAAGAATAGTCCCTCTTAGCAACATGCCCAAAGTATGTGAGGCGAAGCCTCATCATTCTTGCTTCCAAAAAGCACTCTGGCTGCACTCTAAGACATATTTATTTGTTCCTGAGACCATTCATGGGACTTTCAGTGCTCTTCTCCAACATCACAGATGAAAGTCATCCAATTCTTCTGTCATTCTTATTGTCCAGCTCTTAGATGCACAGCAAGTAATCATAGACTACAGGCTGAATCAGACACGCCCTAGTCCTTAAACAGACATCATTTCTCCTAAAAAATTTGGAGAGGTCCCTAACTGCAGATTTTCCCAGCGCAATGTGTTTCCTTATTTCCTGACTGCTGGTACTATTGGTGTTAATAAGATGAAGCTGTTGACAGTTTCAATTTCTTCTTCATCCATCATGATGTTGCCTATCAGTCCAGGGGCAAGAATCTGCTTTCTTGACATTGAGATGCAAACCATAGTGAAGGCTGAATTCCTTGATCTTCTGCAACAAGTGGTTCAAGTCTTCCTCACTTTCAGCAGGCAAGGCTGTATCAGCTGTGTAATGCAGGTTATTAATGAGTCTTCCTCCAACCCTGATGTCACATTCTTCTTTATAGAATCTACTTTCTTGAATAATTTGCTCAACATAGATTGAATAGGCATGGAGAGAAGATACAACCCTGCCACTCTTTTCTAAATTTTAAACCATTTCTAGTCTGTTGTTGTTAAGTGACTCATAGCGACTTTATGTACAACAGCTCTGATCCCTGTTCTATCCTGTGCCAACCTCATCGTCTCCAACACATCCACCCTCATTACCTCAGTCACTAAGTCAGTCTACCTCATCCAGGGTCTTCTCTCCTGCACTGTCCCTCCACCCTCCCAAGTGTGATGTCCCTCTCCAAGGACTGGACCCTCCTTGCAACATGCCCAAAGTATGTCAAATGGAACTTCAGAATCCTTGCCTCCAAATAGCAGTCTGGTTTCACTCTCTTCTGGACAAACCCATTTGTTCTCCAACTCAAAGGCATCAATTCTCCTTCTATCACCCTTCGTCATTGTCCAGATTTCTGATGCATAGCAAGTAATTGTGAAGATCATTGCCTGGATCAGGCGCACCTTAGTCTCAGATTGACATCTTTGTTTAGTACTCTGGAAAGGTCCATGACAGAAGATTTTCCCAATGCAATTTGTCTTTTGATTTCCTGACTGTTGGTACAAGAGTGGTGACTGTGGAGCCAAGTAAATTGAAGCTGTTAATAATCTCAATCTCTTCACTGTCAATCAGCCCAGTGGTAAGAATCTTTGTTTTCTTGATGTTGAGTATCAATCCATATTGAAGATTGCTGTCCTTTACTTTCTGAAGTAAATGCCTCAGGTCCTCCTTAAGTAAGCTAATTCAGGAGCTGATGTATGTGTATGGGGGTGTGCGCGTGCACATATGCATGTAGATATGGGGGGGGGTGTATAGGGGTAATGTGCATGTGTATGGGGGTGTGTGAACATGTATGGGGTGTGCACAGGTATATGTGGAGTATGTTATGCTTGTGTGTGCATATGGAGGTGTGTGTATGCATGCATGCTGTGGAGCTGTATATGGGTACATGTGCACGTGCATATATGGGGGAGTGTAAGGGTGTGTGCACCTGTGTATGTGGAGTGTGTATGTATATATGTGTGCACATGCATACGGACGGGTGCATGTGTACATGTGCAGTTATGGGAGCGTGTGTAAGGGTGTGTGCATGTGTATATGTGCACATATGGGGGGTGTGTAACGGTGTGTGCATGTGTATATGGGGAGTGGGTATGTATGAGTGCAAGTGCATATACGATGTGTGCCTGTGTGCACAAGAACATGGGGAGTGGGCACGCATGTGTGCATGTGTATGTGGAGGTGTGAGTGTGTAATATGTGCAGGTGTATATATGGTTGTGTGCAGGTGTATATGGGGAGTAGGTACACAAGTGTGTGCATGCATGTGTATAGGGGCGAGTGTATACATGTATGTGTATGTATGGGTGTGTGCAGGTGTTTATGGGGAGCAGGTATACGCGTGTGCATGCGTGTGTAGATCATATGTGTGTATACATGCATGTGTATGTATGGGTGTGTGCAGGTGTATATGGGGAGCAGGTATACGTGTGTGCATGCGTGTGTAGATCATATGTGTGTGTATGGGTGTGTGCAGGTGTCTATGGGGAGCAGGTATACGCGTGTGCATGCGTGTGTAGATCATATGTGTGTATACATGCATGTGTATGTATGGGTGTGTGCAGGTGTCTATGGGGAGCAGGTATACGTGTGTGCATGTGTGTGTAGATCATATGTGTGTATACATGCATGTGTATGTATGGGTGTGTGCAGGTGTATATGGGGAGCAGGTATACGCGTGTGCATGCGTGTGTAGATCATATGTGTGTATACATGCATGTGTGTGTATGGGTGTGTGCAGGTGTCTATGGGGAGCAGGTATACATGTGTGCATGTGTGTGTAGATCATATGTGTGTATGCATGCATGTGTATGTATGGGTGTGTGCAGGTGTTTATGGGGAGCAGGTATACATGTGTGCATGCGTGTGTAGATCCTATGTGTGTATACATGCATGTGTGTGTATGGGTGTGTGCAGGTGT